CAAGGGAAGAAATAACTCCCTTAGGAACAGCCAGGGTGTGAGATCTCTCTTTATAAATCCCTCCTTATGCCTCTCTTTTCTAGTGGGCTCCTGTAACCCAGCGGGGTTGGTGTCTGTAGATCCCTCGCTGGCCCCGGTGAGTATCAGATTGAACCCACCAACGCCTGCAGGTCATTTTTGTGTGATCCCCTTTTTTCTCACTTTGGGCCAAGTCCTTCCTTAAGCACAGCCTGAAAACAGCCGTTACCTGTGCTAGAGTAGCAGACACCACGTTCAGTCACCATGCTGCAAATTCTCAACTGCTCTTTTCTCCCCCTCCTTTTCCCCAGGGCTCCTGCGCATGTCGGGCATACGTTGAAGGCCCAGCTTGTGACAGATGCAAGCCCTTATACTGGAACCTGACTCCAGAGAACCCCTACGGCTGCCTGAGTAAGGAAATGGCATTTGCACAGCCCCCAAAATTCCCCTCCATGCTATAATGGTTCCAGACCCAAACCCAAGCCAGTGGGGACTGTCGTTGCTGGATGGAAGTGATGCCGTTACTTCCATCTTTACCCTGAAGTGACATGTCAAAGCTGGAGTGGGCTGGGTAACCCCTGCTTGGAGAGGGGAAAGGCTGGAGCCTGGAGCTTTTTGTCTTGGGATGAAACACAGGGCTTATGCAATGAGTTGTCCCCTCAACAGTAACTGTCCAAAATGAAAAGTGAGCCATTGTACGGCGCTACCCTCTACTTGACCAGTTCCCAGCTCCTCATATCCCAGCCGGTGTTGTCTGGTGTGGTGGTTACTGTCCCCCATCAGGCTTCTTCTCAGGGGCTGATTGATCTTCATCTCTCTCTCCAGGCTGCAAGTGTGATACCAAGGGCACGATCAGCGGAATCGCAGAATGCCGGCAGGTGGGTTTGCTCCTCTCTGCTTCTGGGCACCTCCGTGCTGTATTGGGAGTGTTTCAGCTCCATCTCTCCCAGCAGCTGCTGGAGAGGCCTGTCCTGATGCTGAGCTCCCAAAGGTTACACCACAATCTGGGCTTGCATGAGAACATGGGATTAAGACCTGTCATAAATTAGGCACCTAAATATTTCTGGGTCTGGCCCAGGATGCCTGGATTTTTGTTTGCCTGCATTATTGGGTAATTTAACTTATCTGGCCCACCCACGTGCAGGAAGCCGTGTAGAGCATGAAACTCGAAATGTTTCTCCAGTGTCTCAGACTAGGACCCAAATAACTGAGAAACGGCTTAGCTGTGACGAGCAACGGGAGGGAATGAGCTTCCATGCCTGCTTCTCTCTTAGGGCGACGGGCAGTGTTTCTGCAAACCGAATGTCTGTGGCCAGTTCTGCTCGGCGTGCAAAGATGGCTACTTCGATATGGAGAATGCAAATTACTTTGGCTGCCAAGGTGAGCCCCCTTCGTGATGTGTGGGGTGAATGAGGGGGCCCACAGAGCTGACCCTGGAGAAAGAGGCTCTGCCGATACCAACTACTGTTGGCCTTGGAGAGAAGGGGCAGGAGATGTCCCACCTCTTGCTTTTGATCATACCACGGCCCAGAGCAGGGGCTGTGTCTTGCTGTTGATCTGGAGACCTGAGGTCATGCTTTTGCCACCATTGGACACAGGAATGAAAGGCCAGGAAAGGTGCCCCCTTGGGTGCCAGAAACTGGTGTGTTTTAACCACTGGCCATGTCCTTGCAGCTGTACCCCTTCCTACTGTTGGGAGCAGGTGGGCATGGACATGGATGTGTGGGGTTGGCTGCTCTCCATCATGCCGATGGGAAGAGGTAAAGGAGAAGATCCGGCCGCTCTCAGCTGGCGCATGGTCCTGGCAGGGCTGGGAAGAGGGAGCAAGGCTGCTGCTGGCGGCAGGGCTGCGGCGCCCAGCCATGAGGCTTTGCAGACCTTGTTCCTCCCGCAGTCGTCAGCTGTCTGGAAATAGCTCGGCGCTGAGGTGGAAGAGGAGCTGATCCAAGTGGGGCCAGGGCCAATATGAAAACGGATACAATGGAATAAAAATAGCAGCCCCAGCCTCCCCGCCCGCTGGGGCGCGCCTTTGATTAGTGACCAGGAGCTCGTTAGTGCGGCGGGAATGTAAACAGGCGCTTCCTGCCCACAGGCTGCCGGTGCGATGTCGGCGGGGCCCTGGGGCCGTCCTGCGAGGAGCGGAGTGGAGTCTGTCGCTGCCGGCAGAGCACACGTGGCCCCACCTGCACCCAGTAAGCTGCTCGCAGGAGATGCACCTTGGAGTGCTCTGCCTCCCGTTCATTCCCTTGGGGACGGTGTCCTCTGCCACCAAGGGGATGGGGACCTCATCGTCTGGGCTGCTGCCACATCAGCTGCGTGCCTGGCGGAGGTGTCCTCTTGCCTCTCGCTCCAGGTAGCCCAGCAGGTAACAGTGCTCCCTCTCTTCCCCAGACCTGCGCGGGACCATTATTTCCCTGACCTTCACCACTTGAAATTTGAGCTGGAGGAAGGCACCACGCCGGCTGGGAGAGCTGTGCGGTTCGGATACAACCCCCTGGAGTTTGAGGGCTTCAGCTGGCGAGGCTACGCACAGATGTCCTCCATCCAGGTACGCCTGGTGTCTCCAGCCCAGCTCCCCCTGGGGAGGATGCGGCCAGTGGAGGACTGATGTGCTTTTGGCACACATCTTTCACCCCAAGTGCTTCTCAAACCCCCAAAGTCACAACAGCCAACATAAACAGCACAGTGTATATATAGCCTGTTTGCGCAGATATTTCCTGTAGTGCTGGGGGCAGCATAGACTGATGAGGGGAAAGATCCTAAATTGGGAATCCCCTGACATCCTGATCCGCTTAGACAAAGGTGGTAGGTTGGTGATTACTTACAGGGATGTCTGTAAACACTGTCTCTGGGTTTCCTTGTGGCTCTTTCATCTGACTCTGGTCTTTCCTGCAACTCTGTGCATAACCTTCCCTCCCTTTTCCAAAAATAAATTAGCTCCTCCTTAGCTGCCATGTTCAGCTTGGACCTCTTGTTACCATTCTGCCTCTGCTCTTGCTGTTAGCCGGTTTGCTGTAACGATGGTTTACACTAACCTGGAGTTGTCTAAGCCCTGGAAGTGAGGCTATTTCATCCTGTGACCCTTTTATCTCCTCGGTGGATTCTTCTTCTGCATGGCCCCCGCAGAAGTGTTGTTGGTGTGCGTGTGTGTTTGGGGATGGGTGCAGGACAGCAATTCTCTGACAGTCTTGTCCCATGTAAGATATTCCTTATCCTGGTGCGTGTACTTTCAGTTTTGTTCATTTTTTCATGCTTAGGTAAAATAACAGAGGGGCCAAATGTGTTAGCCATTTCCCATTGAATTCGTAGGTAGGAGCTAAGCAAGGAACTCATGTAGGCTTCCTTGAGAAAACCCCAGCCTTAAAGCTGAAGGATGGAGCTCATGCTTAAGCCCATGGCTTTTGTTTTGTATCCAGTGTTGGTATTTGAGATAGAAATAGGCCTTGATAGAAGGGCTGGCATATGGCTTTCTGCTGGCAGGTCTCACGTGTAGTTTTGCTCTCTGCAAGATCCTTCCAGCTGGCTCTCCAGTGGGAAGATGGTGTGTAACTGGAGCATTGAAGAACACTGAGCCATCCTTAGGAGTCTCCCTGGGCAGACCCCAGCTTTGCCCTGTAGGCAGGAGGGTATTTAAGCAGATGCTTAGATTTTTTGAAATGGGTCAGACTTAAGCATCTCCTTAACTGGGGTCTTGCCAAACAGCATCCAGGCAGGCAGAGGGCTGACGCACCCATCAGTGTCACGTGCCCTTGAGCACTGTTAGTGCTCAGCAATGCAGGTTCGTGAGGATGAGACACCAGCTTGATTTGCAGCCTCTGTAGGCATCTGGGCAGACTCCCGTAAACACAAGGGCAGGTGCTTCAGCGTTTGGTACCTGCTGGCTGGCTATGGCACACTAAGCCCAAGAGCAACATGCCAATAACAAAAGCAAGAACTTCATAAAACCTTTCCTCTGGCATGGCGTGTGCCCCAGGATAGCCGAACCACCCTGCTGTGCCACAGCATCTTCCAGATGTGGGCAGAGCCTTTCCACCCCCTTCCCGCAGGCAGGTTGTTCCCTTGGTGGCCGGCCCCAGAAGGGATGGCGTCGCGAGGTGCCCTCGCCGTGACTGTGCAGCAGGGCCGGTGTGCTTGTCTCCTCCTTGCGCTGTGGCATGTTGCTTTGGGAGCAGTGAGCCGAGCGGCTGCGCTTGGGCTGGTAGCTGTCGGCGGTGGAGGTAATTGAAGGTGTGCTCTGCTTCTCTCCCCTTTCTCTCTCCCACCAGCCCAAGGTAGTGGTGACTCTCAATGTGACCTCCCCCGACCTCTTCCGCCTCGTCTTCCGCTACGTCAGCCGGGGGCCCGCCAGTGTGGAAGGGAGGGTCTCGGTCGTTGAGGAAGGAAATTTTAATGTTTGTGGCAACTGTAAGTGCATTTTTCACTTCTGGACTAACTCGGAGCATCCCCCGCTGCGACACTGCTCCTCTGCCCCTTCTCCTGCCCCAGGTGTGCCCGTCCCAGGTGTGCCCGTCCCAAGTGTGTCCATCTCAGGTGGCCGGCCAGAGCCGTGCCATGGGATGGTGAGGGAGGGGGAAGAGAGGCAGGCAGGCAGGTAGGCAGGCAGGCGGGTAAGGCTCTTCCGCAGAGCGGGTGAGCGGCCAGGAGCTGGCCCCCCAGTGACGTGTGCCCCATGTGCTTTTTTGCTTTTTGCAGAATAAAATCAGAGTCACTGTAGACGTGAAGGAGGCAGAGCTCTATCTGTTCCATGTCATCCTGAGGTATATTAATTCAGGAGGGGCCACTGTGTATGGCAAAATTACAGCTTATCAGCCACGAAGGAGAGGTAAGGATCCCAGACTGCTCTGCTCCCCTGCACCATCGCCACCTCCTCCCCATCCCAGGCAACCTTCTGCATCATCCTTTCCAGAAGACACTTTCATGTGGCTTTACCCATTAGTCCTGCCCTTCAATTGAAGGGCTGATTTGAGTTTGCAGCCCCCTTTATTTAACAAAGAGCAGCAAGCTGGCCCACGGTCCTGGGGCTGCACACTGAGGACTGTTATCAGCCAGGCTGGTGTGAGATAAGGCTATTGTATGATTCCATACAACCTTTCCAGCATGGGACAAGATCACCCTAGTGCCCCAGGCAGAACTGAGATGAGTTTCCACAAAACCAGAATGGGCCAAGTGCTGGGAACTGGATCCAAACTTTGGCAGCTGGATGCTGTTTTGTTTCGCAGGTGCCCTCATGTGGCAGTCCTGCCCTTGCCTTGGGCTTTCCTAACCAGGCTGCTGGCCTCACACATGGTGTGGGGTTTGGAAGTGGCGTGGAATTGCATGTGTTATACAGGCATTGCACTCTGTTGCAATGTCTTCTCGTCAAGCCATGAGCTGCTGGAGAAGAAGAAGAGCCACCAAAAGATGGCTGAACAAGACTAGGGACCTGGACAGCATATATTCTGGGAATCAATATGAGCAAGACTGCATGGGGACAGACCTGAGGCCATGCAAGTGCCCTAGTGGGTGGCTGGCTGATTGATTTTACCCCTTCTGATGCTACAGCCACATCATCC